TAAGTATGATTCGGCGCGTTCGGAGCAATTTGGAAACTTGAAGTTTATATTTTGATTCAATTTGGTTTTGGGGTGTAATTCTTGGTTTTATTGTTGTTTTACGCATTTCGAGAGTTTGAGAAAGTCCGTATTATATTTATAGACTTGTTGGATGGGGTCCCGAGGAGCTCGGGTGCATCTCGGACCGTCCAGAGTTGTGTTGAAACACACCAGATTTTCTGCTTCTAGTTTCCTTCTTCGCAAACGCGGTCATACCTCCGAATTTGCGATGAAGGATTTGAGGTACTGTGGGCTGGGGGCTTTTTCCCTTCGCATTAGCGTGATATGGACCGCGTTCGTGGAGGTCTGGGTCCTCCATCCTTCGCGTTCGCGTGACCTGGTCCGCGTTCGTGTAGAGGAGGCTGAGCTGGGTGGCCGCTGATCATTCTTCGCGTTCGCGAAGACGCCCTCGCGTTCGCGTAGGGTAGGCCAAGCGAGCCTCTGCGTTCGCGAGGCTCCTGTCGCATTCACGAAGGGTAAAATTTCCCAAGCCTAGGCCGTTGCCTTCACGAACACGAGGCCTTTTCCGCGTTCGCGAAAAAGGGGGAAGCTGGGCAGAGAGTTTTAAAAATCGGGACTTGGCCATTTTTGGGTTCATTTATGAACACTTGGGCGATTTTAAAACTTCAAAAAGTGGGATTTCAACCTAGCTATTGAGGGTAGGTAATTTCTACGTAATGTGATTTTAATATATAGATTATGGATAGATTTTAACATGTAAATTTGTGGAATTTATGGGTTAGATGGAAAACCTAGGTTTTTGATAAAAATGAGATTTAACCACAAAATTGGTTATGGAATTTAGTGAAAATCATATATTTGAGTTCATGAGGTTATGGGTAACAACTTTCTTTAAAAATTTCCGAAATCCTAGCATGTGGGCCCGGGGGTGAATTTTAGGAATCTTGCATTTAGGGTTGAGTAATCACTACAATTGTTGGAATATGAACTTTTGAACGTATATTGATCAATTTATATACCATTTGATTAGTTTTGGATTGTTCGGCAACGAATTGAGGTTTTGAGCACAACTTGGGACCAGAGAGTAGGCCTTGAGATGAGGTAAGTCTCTTTTCTAACCTTGTAAGAGGGAATTTACCCCATAGGTGAACTATGTGGGGGGATACGTACGCACGAGGTGACGAAAATGCGTACGTAGCTATTATTCATTCTTATGTCCGGGTAGCTTTAGGTTTACACCATGCTTTGTTGCACCGTTATAGACAACAGAGTATGTTGGCCACACTTGCAGAGGTTTATCGTTCCCCCGCAGAAGATCTTGGGGGAATAGAGATTCATCATATGAGCTAAGGTTAGCTCTTCTCCAGTCTCCTGGTACAAACGCCGATGGCAAGCAGCCGTCCTCCACACAGAAGGAGTTACTTGTGCCAAACACACTTGGTAGCAGAGGCAAAACTTCGCAATCACGGAGTCAAGCTCCCCGCTCAAAGAGAACACACCCAAAGTAAAGAGACACGTGTAAAAATATGTAAAACCCTCCTTGGATAGGGTCACTCGCTCCGATAGATCAGAAGCAATAATATCCAAATCATGGCAGCAATCTTCCTTCACAACAGGAATGCTAGAAGGACGGATGGAAGAAGGGTACCTGCTGACGGCCCATGTACGAGAGTTAGCAATAGGAAATTTCTCTTCAAAGTATTTTGTGGTAATAAGACTTCTAGGGATGATGAAGCCCACCGTTGGAGGAGCAGAGTCCCCGGCCTTGTTCTTGTTCTTTGAAGAACTGGTGCGCTTTGAGGAAGAAGCCATTGTATGGAAGAAGGGGAAGGTTTTTTGTTTGAAGAGAGTTAAAGAAAAGATGGAGAACAAAGATGCAAGTCAGATGAGGGAAGGTTGGAAAATTATGAAGTACAAGGGAGAAGGATGATGTGTATAAGTAAAAGTTTTGGCAACTAAATTCATGGTCATGATTGCCTCGATAATCAGCAAAAGCAATGCTGAATCGTGGGATGACGCGTGTTCGGGTCATTTGATAAGTATAAATTGCGTATGTTTTAAGTATATATAATATTAAATAAATAAATATTTATTTCTAAATATATTACTTTTTGTTCAATATTTGTGTAAATATAATAAATACTGCAGGGAAAGAAAAAGAACAGAAAGAAGAACACAAAGGCAAAGAAAGAGAGCCAAGGATGACATCCGTGGGAAGAAACAGCTGGAGAAAATCGAGCAACTCAGACCAAGGATGACGTCCCAGATCACGTCCCAGGCCAAGGATGACATCCTTGGGAATATTTGCTTGTGCTTGTCCCTATAAAAAGAGCGTAACTTCAATTGAAAAGAGAACCATTCTTGTGCAGAGAACACCAACTTTAATTAGCTTTGTTTTAGTTTTAAAAGTTATTTCTCTTATTGTAGGAATAGTAGTTTTCTATTTTTATCTTTTCTCCATAATGGAGTAATTTTCTTTGGTTGGGATAGTAAATGAAGCTATAAAAATGTTATAATAATTATCTTAATTTTATTATCTTCTTATGTTGAGATTTTCTCTTTATCTTCATTATACACTAAGGTATTTGATATTGATTATTTCTATTATTTGATATAATTATATCACTGTCACGACCCAAGTTTCCCCCTCCGTGAACCCTCGTGACGGTACCTAGTCTCTACGACTAGGTAAGCCTAATATTGCAGAACTAAAATAAAAACACAAAGATAACAGCTAAACGAATATAGTTAATAAGCAAAAACAATGCCGCTTGGCATATACAATAATCACTTTTTCCAAAACTCGGAATGTCGAAATGTCACAAGCTTCTAAGATGTCCTAACTGTCCTATACATTATTTCTACGGAAAAGAAGAAAATGAACATAGGGGATAGAAGGGTATTTCAAGGTCTGCGTACGCGACAGATGTACCTTGAAGTCTCTTGAAGCAGCAACTGCACAGCTAGACTCGAGGCTGATAGCTAGTACCTATATCTGCACACGGAAAATATGTGCAGGAAAGGGCATGAGTACACCACAGCGGTACCCAGTAAGTCCCAAGCCTAACCTCGGTCAAGTAGTGACGAGATCAGGTCAGGGCCCTACTAGTATAAATATAATAAAAGTTTATTGATTCAGAAAAAGCTAATCGAAAGAGGCTTTTTCTTACTTGGTGCACTCAACTAAGATAATTCTTGTTTGAAGCCATTACTTTAATTGGTTAACTACACTAATAGAAAGAGGTGTTATTAGTCAATTATTGTTTAATACCACTAACTGTCAACAAATTAATAACTGTCACGATCCAATTCTATTATAGGCCGTGGTGGCTCCCGACACCGTTGCTAGACAAGCCAACACTGAACAATCTAGTGGTTTCCCGTTTTTAATAAGTTTGCTAAGTAAATAACTTTCCTCAATATAAAATATTTAGGAAATGACAGATGTAAAATAATAAAACGAAAGCAACTAAGTGCAATCATAATCATAGAAATGAGCCCAAAATCATAAGTTTACTAATGTGTGCTAAGACCTGGTATCACAAGTATATGATCATTCTAGTAGATTATACAAAAGAATACTAGTCTACTATCTGAAGTGAAATAGATAGAAAAATATAAGCAAAAGAAAAACTCCAGCAGCCGTAGAACGGCTCGGAATGAAGCTCACTGTGAAGTCTCGAAGTGGTAATCAAGAGTGTGCGCCAGATTGATATCCAGATGCATCTGCCTCAGATCATGCGCATTTAAGTGCAGAAGTGTAGCGTGAGTACATAAACAACAAGTATCCAGTAAATATCTAGTCTAACCTCGAAGAAGTAGTAACGAGGGGTCGACTCCGACACTTACTAAGGGGAAACAATATAATAATATGTAATTCTAATTAAACTTGATAGATAGAAATGAAAATAAAATTCAAAGTAAGAAATAAATGAATGATACTTTCACCATTATTAAGAACCGAATCATTTCCCTCATTTAAAGCAAGTAATTTCTCAAGCCAATGAATTAATATCAAATATAAAGGGACTTTCAATTTTATTATCACACACGAATTATGCCGAGGACGTACGATGCGATCTAAATATACATAACTGTGTGCACTGTCGAGGGTCGAATGGAACGAACCATAGATGCATCTATTAACCTGCTGAGGCGAACGGCCCGCTCCCATGAGAGTAGTGGAAAAGTTACCCTGCTCGCGGAAAGTACTTGCGATGCGGTTAAATATAAGTTTCTCAAGTTACCATAATATCCCTCAATTCGTTCCAAAATAAAGAAAATTCAACTTGAAACTTTTAAAATCTTCAGATCCTCAACTTAGGCCCATTCAAAACAATTAGCAAATATAATTAAAGCATGGATGATGACAACGATCGTGGGTGGATGAAACGGTTCATTGCAGTTGCCGCTAACGACATCATTCCGGCAATGGCTTCATCTTTTTCGGCCGTATGGAACCGCACTCGTAAGCTCTTTGTTTAATATTTCCTTTTACAAAATATTCTTCTATAGCCGTATTGATCCTCCATCCTTCGCATGTTTCAGCAACTCGATGGATCCCCCCGGTGGTTGAAGGTTTGGAGCGGTAGGTTCAGAAGATCTTGGATATTACGACGCTCGAAACTCGCTTGTAGAAAGAACTCGCCCCTAAATACGGGTGGAAGGCCAAAAATTATGGTAATTCAAAGTCACCATGTTTCAATTTTTCATGTGAATAAGTTTATTGATCCTTTATAACTTGTCTATGAAATTAGGTCTACCCGTAGGCTCTGTTGCTGTCCCCGAGGAGAACGTCCTGGCTGATCCTGCAGATACAGCGAGGCTGCTTCAGGAGGTGCTTACTCGAACAGCTGTCTCCAGGCCTGCTTTGGGCATAAATGTTTCTTTACGGAGTCCCCGGCCGGAGGACAAACAACCAAAAAGAAGACTATCCTCCCACGGCCGTGGAAAAGAATAAAAGGGCGAAGATTGATGCCCCCGAGATATCTTCGGTAACGATGGTGACCGGCCCTCCTTCCGGGCCGGTCGTAGACACCGTGATGATTGATAATGATGAAAAATCTAGTGATGAGGGAGCTTCTCTATATAGAAGACGACGATCATCATCATCTCAACAGGATGCTCGACCTATTAAGACAGTTACACGAATCGAGGACGATGCCTCGGCGCTTTGGGGAGAGTTTGATTTGGTAGATACTGCCAACTCCCATTTTCGGGCCCCAATTGTTTTTTCTGGTACTGCGGGGCTGAGTACCGGGTCCCTGCCATCTTTGGTTGGCTAGCACCCAACAACGCGCACTGCATTTGATGCAGCTACTTCACACCTTTCAACTCCATCAGTTTCATCTCCATCTTCACCAACACCAGCAACTTCTACATAACTTCCATCTTCATCCACTCTTCCACCAGCAACTGCTACATCATCTCCACCGGTCGCACCTGACCACGAAGAAGGTGTTCCTATTCCCCAGTACCCAGTTCATGGGAATTTGGGGCAAAATTATGTTGCCCCTTCTGAAGATCCACAAAGGAGGAGGAATGTTACTCTTTCGGTCTCTACTGGATGCAACTTGCTATCCCGACCGGTGGAGCTTGCTAATTATATGAAACCTTTGGCTTCACTGAAAGATTGGGAAAAGATTCAGGCACTCTCGGGAGAGTGTTTGTTGAATAATGCCATACACAATGCCGCAGTGGTACGTTCCTTTTTTCCTTTATTATTTCTTCTATTTTCGGTATGAACATATCCTGGATTTTACCCTTCTTGCTTTGTAGGCTAACTTTCTTGCTTCCGAGGGCCTTCAGAGGTTGATTCGTAAGAAGGAGGAACTTACTTCCGTGTGGGTTAAGCTTTTGGTTGAACGGGACCAAGCCGTTATTCGCCTCTCGGAATTGGAAACCAGAGCAGCTGAGGCTGTCGTATTGGAGACTCGTTTGCAGCAAAGCGAGCAAGAAGTGGTAACCCTTAGCAAGAAGGCATCTCTTCTTCCTAGTTCCGGAGATACTGCAGTTTAGCTTTTTTTTTTTCTTTTTCCAATTCTTGTACCTGTGCTGTTTTGGCATGTTTTTGTAAATAAAGACATCTTTTGTTAAAGTATTGTTTGAGTCTTCCTTTCATTTGAATACCCATGCAAGTCTTTAATCTTTGCATTTTCTTCCTTTTGCTTAAGAATTTTGCGCAAGTTTTTCTGTTTGTGTCTTATTATGTGAAGTCTTGGATCTATTCTTCCCAAAATCATTTTGGTTCTAGACATCAACCCTTTTACGTGAGGGCTTCTATAAATATTTGCGAAAGTTTACTTTTCGCGTCCTTTTGTATTCGGCTTCGGGTGTATTTTTTCTCAAAAGGCATTTTGATTACGGGCATAAATTCTTCTGAAACCAACGTTTTAACGTGAGGGTTTTTATAAGAGAGGACACTCTTATGTTTACGGTGCTCTTGAAGAGGACGTCTCCTGTTCATTACAGCACTAGCATTTGAGGTACTTGTTTAACTTTCAAATGACAAAGTTAATTCATCGTTCAGACAAGAAACAAGATAAAAACATAATAATTTCATTTCATTTTATTCCTTCTATTTCAAAAGTACATAAGCATTTGCTATGCTGAAAAGAAATTACCATTACTTGTGGCTAACTTGTACAACTTGTTTCTACGGGGCTGGTCGCACAGTCCTCGGTCCGATGCAAATATGTTTCCGGTTTTTTGTTTCCCGGTCGATGTGGTAGTCATTGTTGTCGTATTCCCCCCCCCAGTGTTCGAATGCGAAGAGTGCCGATATAATGGTCGGTTGGATTTACTGTTTACTTTCCTATTTTCTAGCCAGCATACATAGATTATACACGGTTATGCTGATATAATATATGGATTATACATATATTATATATCCGTCAACTATTTTACTTTTAATTTAAGCGGTTAGATGAGTAGCTATTTGAGTTAATAATTCTTCAAAATATATCAGGTGGGAGGTCCATCATGGACAGTGAAACTTGGAAGAAGAGATTCAACAATTGCAAGTAAGACACTTGCTGAAACAGATCTCCCCGGTCCTTTTGATCCTCTTAATAGGCTTATTTCTAGCTTTGCAAGCAAGGGACTTAGCACAAGAGATATGGTCGCTTTGTCAGGTAATTAACCAGGATGCTAACATTTATAATTATAATTTAGAATTGGAACAGGAGTCTTGGCGTAACTGCTAAAGTTGCCGCCATGTGACTAGGAGGTTACGGATTCGAGCCATAGAAACAACCTCTTGTAGAAATGCAGTGTAAGGCTGTATCCTGTATAGACCCTTGTAGTCCGATCTTTCCCGGACCCGCGCATAGCGGAAGCATAGTACACTTGGCTGTCCTTTTATTATCATTTAGAATCCGAACAAAAAAATAGAACTTTATTATAAGAATATTGAAGGATATTAGTTAATTTTTGCTTTGATTCCCAGGGGCTCACACAATAGGCCAAGCACAATGTTTCCTATTTCGTGATCGGATTTATGGCAATGGAACAGACATTGATGCTGGATTTGCAAGTACTAGAAGACGTCAATGTCCTCAAGAAGGAGAGAATGGAAATCTAGCACCTCTTGATTTTGTTACACCAAATCAATTTGATAACAACTACTTTAAAAATCTCATTCAAAAGAAAGGTCTTCTTCAATCACATCAAGTTCTTTTCAATGGAGGATCGACAGACAATATTGTTTCTGAATATAGTAACAGTGCTCGAGCTTTCTCGTCTGACTTTGCTGCTTGCCATGATCAAAATGGGAGATATTAGTCCCCTAACTGGTCAAAATGGGATCATAAGAAAAGTTTGTGGCAGTGTCAATTAGTTCTTAAAATTCACTCTCTATGTTTGGTTTTGTATTGTGAAAGTATATTTGTTTTGATGAACTGAAGTGTAATCTCATTCATTCTATTTGTTTCTTTGATATGTAAGATTAACGACGTTGTTTGTATGCAAATAATAAAAAAAATTGTGTTACGTTTGGTGTAATGCTTCATTGACTTTTTTTGCAAAGCTTTACCTTTCTTAAGCATCTATACTTATCGTTTTGTATACTTATTTCTCTTAAATAATGAAGTAGTCTAAGATTTGAAAATTCAGCCTCAAAATTTGAGACTGATTTTCCATTTATTACTATGTAATAGAATAATACTACTATGTAAAATGAAATATTTGACGAGTAAATGAATTAATCAGGTGCCTAAGTTTTGTGACAAAAGATAACCAATTAGAAAACATGATGTAATGTTCATTACAACCAACAACAACAACAACAACAACATACACAGTCTTAAAGAGGCTACTTAATTAGAACACTTATAAAAGATAGAATTGTCTGTGTAACTGTGAGTAAGAGGAGTACGATTGCTGCCACAGTTGAAACTCCAGCCCAAGGACTATGAAAATAATTGCGCCTCAAATTTGCTTTCATTCTGTTCCATGGTTTTTCACAATGTTGAACTACTTTTCTGCATTCTTCTTTGTAATAGAAATCCGATGAAATAGAGACCCCTTTCCCAATTTTATTAAATAAGTTAGCCACTTCTTTGTCCTCTCCTATCCTGTTCCTAATAACTCCTTTTAAGCGAAGCAAATTCACATCTTTTTCTGAGTCAATGAGATGATCCATGAAAATTGCATAATCACTGAAATATCTAGAATGTGCATTAGGCGACTGTTGCTCGTAAGCTATGAGATTTCTCAAGATAGTCTCAGTATCATCAACGACTTCGAAACAAGGAATTTTCATCAATCCATTCTCGAATTTAATGTCAAATAAACTTGTGCAATCTTCAAAATTGTCTTCCTTCAAACAAGTATAAACAGTTCCAACCTTTGTAAAACTTACTCCAGCTTCGTAAAGCTCTGTTGCATTTGGCATAATGTCAATCCATATTAAGCTTTTCCCACAATGTTCGATTTCAATGCTAGAATTATTCATATATGAAGGGTGGCAAGACATGTGTACTAATTGAAGTATATGTTTGATATTTTTGGCATCACCTTCAGTATGCAGGAGTAATCTTTGGTAAGGAAGGAAGAAAGGTACACTTCACCATTATTATGAATGATGTTTGATCAACGTCCATTGTCATGTCATGAAGTTTGGCGAGGACAAAGAAAGGAAGTTGATTTTCTAGTAACAACAAATCCTCTGATAATTATGTCTTCTCCTGTTGGAATTATTTCACAGCACTCTCGAATATACTCAACCACAAAACAACCATCAAGCAATAACATCAGCAAAAATTCACCAATATTGTCACTATAAAAGTCATGTATATTATCATAACACTTACGCACTTCATCCTTCAATTCTTCTATTTCTCTTATGTAACTTTCCACATCAATCCCTTCTTTCCTTCGAAGAAACGTACATCAATTTGTACTTTTCAATCGATCGAAGTTCAGTATTGTGTTTATGGTAAGGGCCAATGGAGATCAACATTGGCTTATAAGCCAATGTTGATGGTAGTTGATTTGATAGACGAATTGTTGAAATCCTTAAAATTTTCATCATATATTTGCTTTACAGATTTAATTGTTTGCAACCTTGATTGATCTTGACCATTTCTTTCCTCTATGTCGATTAAATAATCCTTCCTTCTTTAATCTGTAATTAATGGAAAAGAATAAAAAGAAAAATTAAGTATTACTTACCTTATAAAGGATAGCATAAACGTGAAGGACACAACATATATAACTTCTTTCCTTAATAGTCTTTTATGATATTCTTCCCCAGAATTTATGTCACCTTGCTTCAAAATAAGGATATATTGATTTTTCCTTTATTGAATAGATAGAATATCACCGTGTTACGAATCGACCACTATTCTAAATATAGTAAGACGGTACTGTTGTTCAGTGGATGTGCGGATCCGGGATTTGAACTTTGTGGGTTATCAAATTCAGAATTCTACGACATCGCGTCTAATTTACTGGGTTAAAATTCTATTTCTACACTTATTTAGCTGGATTTTTAACACGTACATATACAGGGCCTAAGCCGAAGTTACTGAGTTCAGATGAACCGTAACTTCTTCATTGGCTACGCCCCTGGCCACTGAGACCATTGACTTAAAATTTTAAGAAAGTAAGTTGACCTGATACAAATATTTATTTGGGAGTCGGTACATCTCTCATGCCTTATTACAAGTTTTTTCGTTTTAATTAATGCAAATTATGTAATTACTGAATGACCTTAGTAAAATATCTTATGACCTTAGAAAACCGAATCAAAGAAGCTTGTTTTTGCGTGTGTGTACTGTGTTGTGAATATGGACAACTCCAATAATGCTTATGGGCCAATTATTTGGACCGAGGCTAGCCAAGTTGTTTGGCCGAGGGCTAAACTGCGAAAAGGCCAAGGAATTAGACAGCCCAACAAAGAGATTTGCTTGGGATGAGGTTGAGTAGGGAAGCAGGTGACAAATGGATAAAAGGGTTCATCGACAGTTCTGAGAATTATGCAAAATGTTATGAAGTATCTGGATTCCCTCATCCCCTTTTCCGAGTTCTGCTTCTCATCCCCATTCCTATCTCTATCCTTAGTTACTTGATATTTCAATAGTTTTCATTGTAATACATTAGTTTGAGTGTTGCAATTGATATCTCAAAGTTGTAATCAGTATTCCAGTTCTTATAGATATAGTGAGGAAGTTTGTATTGTTACATTGGTGCTTTCATCATTCGTACTTCAACAATGGTGGTATTAGATCGATTTAGCGGTGGAAATCCAGAGGGTTGGATTTTTCGGGCTGAGTTGTACTTCACCTATCTTGGCTTCTCTAAGAAGGACTGGTTACCTCTTCCTTACCACTACCTTGACGGAGAAGCTCTTGCTTGGTTTGATTGGCTGTTTCGCAATAAGCAATTTTTTAATTGGAATCATTTTAAGGAGAAACTGAAGCTGCGTTTTCATACTCGGATTAGAGAAGCATCTGGTGGGTGCTTAGCCATTCACCAGCAGCGAAAGCTAGTGGAAAATTTTCTAGCACGAGATGCGGCTATTCCATCGTGGTGCAACATTAGCACCTCACCCTCGCCTCAGTATTGGAATAAACACTTAGACAGCAACAACCTTAATTTGGCATACGAGGTGCTCGAGCAAATGGCGGATAGGGCTACTAGCACCTTACAAGATGATGAAGCGGATGTTGAACCTTGTGAGTTACCAGAAAAGCATATCGATGTCGATTCTATGTAGGGTGTCGCTGATGGAAGTCATATTGAGGTTGAAATTCTTACAGAGCTACAAGCTGGTAATGCATTGATGACTAAGAAGGAGGAATTCTCAGAAGAAGGCCAGGTGTTCGACGAAATGTCTCATAATTGCTGCTCCACGGTACTCGCTGATGAATTTGATTTAGAAGATGGCGATTCCGAGAAAGACAAGGTTCCTGATGGACATCACAGACGAACCGTTGCTAAGAACTATGTCTCTCCAACTGATGCGGCAATTGCTTGCCATAATGACGCTGAAACGAATACAATTAATTTTCTGGTGCCTTTGACTAGCGGAGAGGATGTAGTGCCGAAAGAGATTACGAGCGCTGCTGAAGTCACACATCCATTAGAAAATGTCATACCGCTTCACATTCACAGGAGTCCATGTCTGTGGAATTTTTTTGATAAGAATTTTATGCTGGCTAATGAGGTTTCAGATATTGAGAGGTATGTTTCTGATGAAATTTTATTTGTTGGGTATGAAGAACCAGCGTGGAATGAAGAGTTCGAGTTAATAATTAAGCAGCCATCACTATGTCATTTTCGGCTTGTAAGTTTTGGTTGCATAGTACCGCATCACCCTACTACTTTACCCGATCAAATATTGGCTATAGCCTTGAATTTATTATGCTTATTATCCGTTCATATTGGACAGCGATTCACTCGATAGACAACCTATTGGGAGATTTGGTTTATTGTCAAACTACATAATGAAATACTAAACAGAAAAATGGTCCAAGAAATTATAATTCTATATGGATATCCTTGGAAGGGTGGCAGTGAGAAGGGATTGAGAAAGTCCTTTGTTGTCTTCGCTAGTGATGTGGTTGGCATCACATACCTCCCTTCTAAATATTCACGCTCAAAAGCAAGGACAAAGTTGGAGTTGCTCGAACTGCAGCTGGTTGCGATTGTAGAAATTTCTACTGTCAGCTATTCATATGATGAAATTGGTTTAAGAGTAGATCGTGGCCTTGAACATCAGAGTGGAACATCATCATTTGAGGACATGTATTCGCTGCACTTGGTGATGGCACTTGGGTCTGGAGGGGAGCTATTTGATAGAACCATTGCTCGAGGATATTCGTTAGAGAATGATGCTGTTGATAATTTTGGACAGCTTCCAATTTTAGTCCTCAATTGCCATTTCATGGTTGTTATGCATAAGAATCTTAAGTCAGAGAAGCCTTCATTATGGTTTAATTCTACAGCCTATTTTCCCCGTGACTTTGTCCTGTTTGATATTCACATAGTTTTCGACGGTTGTTGGAATCAATTGCTTATTGGACATCCTAGAATACTTTGCCCTCGACATCAACTTGGGCTTGCCCAATGCTTGGAGGAGCAGTTTTGGTTGCATCAATTTTCACCTGATGAACTTGGATTAGACTTCCCATTTGATCCTGGCTCTGCTGCTTTAATCAGGGTGCAGTCCCCTCAGAGAACGTTAGAGGACCACTCTACACTCTCATATCCGAGTAGGCAATATGTGTTTAAGCTTTCTGAGTATTTGGCGGACGATCTCTTGAGACTTCTGAAATGTATTGATTATCATGGACTGTCTATTCATATGGTTAACAAGTTTGTTATGCCGGTTAC